GTACTGGTATATGGCGCAGAAGCATGGACAATGACAACATCCGATGAGGCGGCTCTTGGGGTGTTTGAGAGAAAGATTTTGCGGAAGATTTACGGTCCTTTACGCGTTGGCGACGGCGAGTACCGCAGACGATGGAACGATGAGCTGTATGAGCTTTACAACGACATAGACATAGTGCAGCGAATTAAAATACAGCGGCTCCGCTGGCTTGGCCATGTCGTTCGAATGGACACCGACGCTCCAGCTCTGAAAGTATTCAACTCGGAACCCGCTGGTGGTAGCAGAGTTAGAGGGAGGCCCCCACTGCGATGGAAAGATCAGGTGGAGAAGGACTTGGCTTCACTTGGCGTTTCCAATTGGCGTCAGTTGGCACAGAGGAGAAACGACTGGCGTGCTTTGCTGAACTCGGCCAAAATCGCTTAGGCGGTTACAGCGCCAAAAAAGAAGAAGAGAAGAAAAAGTAGAAAATAATACTTCTCAGTCCCATAGAATTTGTTTTGATAACTTTTGATTTTGAAATTTTAGCAAAAGTCATTATAAACAATCTATGAAATTGAAAATGAAAAGCGTGGGGCGCATGTAATACACTTGAATTGATATGAAAAGTAATATATGAATGTATGTATGTGGGTATATGAATAACGACCGCTTAAAATCGATTTCAAAGTTCTACTTTCGCTGTAGAAATTTTAGGCCTACGTTATGTAGTTTGACTATTATCAATTAAATCGAATGCTTTGTATTGCATGCGCTCCACGTTTTTCATTTTCAATTTCATAGATTGTTTATAATGACTTTTGCTAAAATTTCAAAATCAAAAGTTATCAAAACAAATTCTATGGGACTGAGAAGTATTATTTTCTACTTTTTAGTCCATTTATAAAAGCGTTGTATATTAAAACGTTTTTTTTTTATATTCTTTATTAAGTAATATACTGGCTATGTAAGTAAAATCATGTTTGCGTAAAATGGTCTTCCTAGGTGGCGCCAAGGTCGAGATATTTCGAAAAACCGTATTTATGGTCCGATTTGGTTCGAATTTGGCGCATGTAGTTGAAACGTAATAAATCATAGATTTCCAAAAAATTTAGCCTGAATTGGCACTGAAATGAAAATATAAAGTATATTCGACATAAAATACATGTTTTGTTTGCGTTAAAAAATCATTTAAAAGTAATATTCACAAAAATATAACGATGGAAATTTATGTCACGTGACGCCACGTCTGCGAATCATACTAGAATAAGTTTCATGAAAATAGCCATCCATAATTCACAGAGTTTTGCGATTTTGTAAAAAAAGAAAAAATGAACTTCCATTTTTTGTCACGTAACGACACTCTCTTTAAATGCTTATATTTCAGGACCAAGCGGTTCGATTTTTCTAATTTTTCGGTTAAATATAGAGCTAATTATGTACTATACAATGGCCTAAAAAAGTTAAAGAAAACAAATGGTATTCCTTTTTTGTATCACATTGAAACGTACGACTGTCACGTATGCGACGTATGGAAATACCCATATATGTATATATATATATATAATAACAATTATTATATATATATATATATAATATAAAAGTTTAATAATTCAATTCCATTAAATGTGACAGCCAATTGCGAAGTCCCTGAGCGTTGGGATTTGGGGTCTTCACAGTTTTTTTTTATTAAAAACGCCCTCAAGCTCAATAAAAATTGTTGAATATAAATGTTATAAGGCCATAAAATAACAAAAAAATATTTAAAAAATTATAGTAATAAAGGTAAGAGGTACTATTTATAAACTATAATATAACTAACTTCCCAGCAAAAAATCGGTAACCGCTTTTAGTTGTAGCGTGTTCTAGAATGGATTGCCTTATAATGCATAGCAAAATATTCTACAATATTTTATTAATTTCGCTGCTTTGATTCATTACGGGGAATGGAAAGTAGAATGCTTCACCATAGTCAGCTGAAAGACAGAATGAATAGCCAAAAATTCTTTTCTACCGTTACTTTCTGTGAAAATTCCATCGCATAAAAATCATGTTTTGCTTTTTTAATCTACAGCGAAGTTGAAGTCAGTCAATGAAGTGAAGTACATACATGAGTGAGGAAGTACAATTTTAAGTTTAATTAAATATGCATGTATGTACGTACCGATTTTTAAGTAATATCTAGATACCTAAACACATACATATGTATGTATGTATATATAAAAACTAATTTATATAAATTGTAATCTTTTAGTCTGTATTTTCTGGTTTAAATTAGTATACATAATGGTAAATAAGTATGCCCCTATCTAGGCTTTCAACAGTAGTTTCTCTGTAAGGCATTCTTTGTTCGTTTCTCTAGATTCTGTTTTCCATGCGTTCTGCCTTCGTTCGGAGATAATGCAGAGGGTAAGATCTTACCGCCAATGATATGCCCATGTTAAAATAATGCCTTCTTGAAGCGAAACGGTAAGCGATTTCCAGCGCCTCATTCGACTCCATTTTAACTTCTGTGGTAATCGTGTTTTTTGCTCGGTTAATACAATACCTTGATTAAATACAATAATATTGTTGTTGTTATAACATAATCATACCCTAATTAATTAAAAGTAATTAATAATGTAATATTTCTTTTTTTTTAATATAGATTAATATTTTTTTATATAAGCTCGGCCAAACAAAAAAAAAGTTAGTAATGTAAGATAACAGAAAGATGTTAATGCTTATACATAACTCGCGCTCTCGTTTTTTTCTAAATAACCCATAACGTTTTATAAAATGAAGTTAATTTTTTTAAATACAATTATCACATGCCCATTGCGCCAATTCCACCCACTTTTGATTTCATCTTGATATGTCTTCGCAAAAGCAGTTTATGAGGTTTTTCCTGCCAGATTGAGCGTTTGGGCCACTGTGCAACGCAAGCAAAAAAAGTTTTAATAGGAAGAAGAAATTTTGTCGGAAATTAGGAATATAGTCTGTGAACTGTTTTATGAGAAAAAATCAATTTTGAAAAAGGTTGAGTTGTGTCAGTTTTTGCTTTAGGATATGTATGTATGCAGAGACTTGACTTTGCTTGGTAGCGGGAAGCATAAGCCCAAAACAGAAGCAAAAAAACGAATGAGTAGATTCGTGCAAAAATCGTAGGACCATGTGGTCCATTTGTGTCATATTGGAGTACTTGCAAAATGCTCTTCTGTAATGCAGTAGCGGACTAACTCGTGTCTCTACACCAGCTTATTGTTACTCGATCATGGCTCGTATTTTGACAATGTAATGCATCCACATGGTTTATTGGGTTGTGTTGTAATTGGTAGGTACTCCATGGAGTATTCCCTTGGAGTAATTTTCTGCTACTCTGATGTAATGCAGGGATGGATTACATGGTCTGCCCGAGGATGTCGCAATGTTAATTGGACAAATTTCGGCTAATTTTTGAGTACTCCTTGACCCTTAGGGAGTACTCTTTACATGCGTGCATGAAGTAGTCCCGATTTATGCAGGACTTCATACACAGATACAAACATATTCTTGTAAAAGAAATTGGCAAGCGATTTCTCTTTCGCTCCTAGAAAGCATTACTTTAGCATGGGCATGTCATTATCAAAAGGCCTTGAAGACGACTTTGCAATGCTCATAATTAGTAACACCTTCAAGAAGACGTTTGCACTTAAAGCGGTTCCATTTTTTACGCTAGGATCGTATTCTAGAACGTATTAGTTTAGAATGTCCAAACTGTCTTTGGTTCTTTTGCCCATTGCGGGGAATTCAAAATTGTCTAAAAGCCATTACCGCAAATGGCATGTCAATGTTAAACTAATGCCTTGTAGAAGCGAAAGGGGAAGTGCTTTTATTTCGATTCCAAATTCATTTCTGAGGCAATCGTGTTTTTTGCTGGATAGGTACTCGTATGCATATTTGCATCATTACGTAATTTTTTCAGCGATACGCACCTTCTTCTTTGTGAAACCGGAAAATGCGTTTTACTTCCGGCTCGTGCGTAGATATACGCGTATCTTTTTTCATAGTAAGCGCATATTTTTGTTAAAAAAACTCTTTTTTGGAAAAATACACTTTCTATGCTTGTAGAATGCAAGTAAAAGTCTATCTCTATAAAATATTCATATATTACCTTAACTGATTTTTCAGATGCTGTGGTATCAGAACTCGTTCTTATTAGATCCTACAGACAGGAGGTCAATGCACACAAATGATGATAAATACACTTTAGTAATTAAAAAGTTCCAGCCATCTGATTTTGGAAATTATAGTTGCGTCGCTGACAATGCTCTGGGAAGAACTAAAAAATATATTGAAGTATCTGGTCGACCGGGCCCAGCTAATTTTATATCACCAGCGTTAAGTGGATATCTTGACCATTACAATTTAACATGGACTATTGAATCCTTACCTCCACTTGGTGAAATAAAACTTTTATATAGACGACTATTGGTAAGATATTTTGCTCTTATAATAAATCAATCAAAAATTAATTGCTTCAAATTTCTAACAGCATATCGTCGTTTTAAGTACAAAACCGAGTATCGTCATTCTGCAAAACCGCGTAACTGACACTGGCTGCCAAAAAATGGATTTGCTAACACAAGCTCTTGGCTCAATCCTTATCCATTCGTCCTGAAATATACTAGCCAGAAATGCGACTGCTTTATAAAAAAGAGAACTATTTTGAAATATGAGTGTTTTTACGCTCTAGAAAATAATTTCTACAACTTCACATACGCGGTTTTGCCATTTACTGATACGCGGTTCTGCACTTTAAACGATGATATATATATATGTATTAATATATATATATTTAGACACAAGAGTCCTTTGCTTGTAATTTTAAAAAATTCGCGAACACCTATGAATTTTCCGATTTTTTATTTTTTTAATATAAGTGGATTTGCTAACTTTATATAAAGCTAGTGAAGCTGCCGCTCCAACTCAAAAAAATTAGGCTTTGTATCCGAGGGTCTGTGCTAATTGAGAAAATTTTGACGGATCAAAGTAAAAATTTTACATTTTTCGTGATGAATACGAACGTCAGAATTTTACCTAGCTCATAGGGCTAGGTAAAATTTTGAGAGCTTTTAAATATGTATACACATAATACTGTTTGATAGTAATTAATAATGAAAATCAAAATGGTAGCTGAAAAAGCGTATCTACGTTATTTGCTGGTTATAAAATCGATATAAAATAGTTATAAAATATATAAAATTTTCAACAATTTCAGCAAACACACAAAAATAGAGCTTTCGCGCGAGCGTTTGTTTGGTTTTTCACTTGTCAAAATTTTACTTTGCATTTGGCACAGCAAAGTTGAATTTATTTGTGCACCATAGAGATTTTTCCACCCCATCTCACCACGGAGAAAAATGTTACCGAACGGCACACAGCCCGAGTAATTAATATTGTGAATTAAACCAGGGCATCACGTAACTTTGGCACGTTATCGGTTCAAACCATATTGATACTATCGTATCGAACAGCGTTGCCGTTTTATAATTTTCGAGCGTAGTGAAATGAGCCAAAAAGTGGAGTGCTATTTGGGTTTTCCGTGGAGTAAAAGTAAAAACGTTGGCCATTTGTGTTATAAACATGGACTTGCCTGCATATATATATATATATGCGTATTAAGGAAAATTCAACGCCTTTTTATATAAACTTCTTTGTAATTGTCTTTTAATAACACTGGTGTACAGCAAAAATGTTCTATGGATGCCCCTATCCAATTCCCATGTAGAATTTCTCGATGATCGAGATAATTTTTTTTCTATGGAAAACTTTTCGAGATATTTGCAATTTACCGTTATTCAGATTTAAAACTAGTGGTTTCACTTAATCACGTATATCTTACGAGCCAATTGGATAATCGTAATACGGAAAATGAAAGAGAATAAAATTCTCCATAAACCGTATATACATTAGAGGTCTGCATCGGAAGATATTTGGCTTCATATTGAAGTTTTCTAGCGAATACGCTTCCTTCTCTTCCTCTCACTGAGAGCGCGGATAGTGAAGAGATGTATAGTCGGAAAGCGTCGAGTAACTAAGTAAAGTACTCGACAAAAATATGTTCCGAAAAAGAGAGGAACATAAAAGAGGAGTACTACGTTGTGAAACTTACGCAAGTAAAAGGTTCCTTCATGTGAAGTTTTCAAGTATTTTAGGAAGATTTCGTTTGAGAGCATAATTTATATACATATAAGAAATATGATATGTCTCGTGCACATAAAATATATTTACTTTTATTTCTATACATTTTTTTATATATAACTACATGTATATATGTATATAAGAGTGGTCCAAAAAAATAAAGTCGGAGTTTTAAAGCCGGCACACCCTAGGATTGATCTATATCGAAAATAATATACCCCTATTTTTTATTTTGAAATCAAAAAATATTTAGGGAGTGCTCAAAGCGCTCAAAGTTTTCCATGTATTTTATATGGAGAAAAAACAATTTTTCGCAGAAATGGTATAAAACTCTTGAAAATCAATATTTTTCGACCGGAAAACTGTGGTTCTCTTCAGGAGACTTCCAGTAATAATATCCAATTGTTTATTTAACCATTTTTTATGACTAAAGATTTTTTATTGGTCCCCCATTGCATTTTCTAAGGGCTTTGGAGGACCTATAAAATATAGTTACCATGAAAAANCAGTTGCTCATAGATTTTGCCATTATAACTTGTAACGTAGCATATCCGCTACGATACAATAACATACAGCATCGGACATACATACAATATTGTACATACATACTGCACCGCACATACATACAATAGTGTACATACACACTCCACCGCACATGTAAATACAGGCATACATACACCAACGTACATGCACTCACCATTGTACATACACACTACACCAAGTGAAGCACTGCTAGCAGCACACCAGCAGCATGCCCGAATAACTCACCAACCACTTCGCTCACCACACTGCATAAATCGGGACGGCACACGACGAATTCTCAACAAGCATACAGCGCAACAGGTATAAAAGGCTCAACAAGTGCGCAGTCAGGTCAGTCTTGCTAGGTGAGTAGCTGACTTGACTGGTCGATGAGCTAGTGGCGTGCTTGCGCGTTAATGTCTTGCCGGCCAGCCAACCATCATGCTGGATGGCCAACAACTAGCCGCAGCCAACTCTCGCGGAAACCAGACACACCCG